ATCGCAAAACATGCACAATGACAAGAAAAAACCAAACAGGCAGAGACAGGATTCCTAAAAAGTGAACAAAATCACTATCTGATAGGTCTCCTATTTCATACCTGAATAAACTGAGTGAAAATTCAAGTTGTCTGTTTAATGTGATTTGTGATAGCAATAATTTTTTTTCCAAAATTTGGAACTCCATAGTTTTGGAATAGTTATGGTTAGTAGGCCTATTGGTAAAACTCGCGTTTATTAATTGAAAAAACATTTGCGAGAAGAAAGTTTTGAGGACAAAAGAAAATAGTTGCAAGACGATAATGTGACTACAGTTATTGGAATTAAATAATGAAGAAGAACAGGACTACTCCTTTTTTTTGGCTGTACCCCTATTGATATTAGAAATATCCTATTCGTTTTAATATCACATTTAATGCATCAAAAAGCCAAATTATATTGTTTATATATTACATTGTAATTGTACTTAACATAAAGAACATCACCATTGGTGGAGTGGAGCCATTGTTCAAACGTTTGACAAAATAAGTTTGGTGAGTCGAATGGCCGAGTGGTTAGCAGGGGCGCCGCAAGCTATAGCCATAATATCGGCGCTGGTTCGAACAGCACGCTCGCCTCTGGTTCTGGTGGTAGAACAAGTCTTCTTGGATAAATTACTATTATTATTAACAGACAAATGCTTTCTAATGATTTCAATGGCTCTAAATGTATTCATGATTTTAATTGACAGAGTAATATGTTTCTGGTAACCTTTTGGTATGTTAACTCAGAAATTCGGAATGTGCTCTTTCGTAATTACTGTACCAGCTTTTACGGATTCCCAATTTTACCACTGTTCGATGATAAAATTGAGAATATCTACAGGGCATGGAGGGTATATTAGTTTCATTAACAAGGCTCTTAATTGCATCAATTCGAAAGCTCAACACATAACTGAAATGGGTCTGTTTGGATCGTATTCAACATTGGTTAGAAAACACCTTGTTTTTCACGGCCTGTCACCGATCATATGTAAAAGTAACATTAAAACTCAGAATAAATTGGTGTAAAAGCAGTGCTTGGACGTTTTTAGAAGGTCACTGGAAACATCACAGTTTGTGTGAAAAGGTTGAATTCACTTTGGCCCTCCAACCAATTTTTATGCCCACCCTTGATAAATAATTGCGTTCCCTGTTATGTAGTAAGATTAACAGTATTGGCACATTATTTTTCAATCTTTAAGAACGTCGGAAATTTAATGACTTTTGTGTTATTTAGTTTGTTGAGTACGGCACTGCCTATAACTTACTTTAAAAACGCAAAGCAATTCGTATTTATTTTATATTTGATTATAATATATTATATAATATATTTAGTACATAATCCTGTAAATTTCTTCATATTTTGAAAATTGGTTGTAAAAAAGAATACTTTAATTACAATAACTTCAAAAATAAATAATTTCGAGCATTAGTGTTTAAAACTTAAAATTTAGTATTTTAGAAACTCATCTGCTCTTCCCTATTTTGAGCTCAAGCCCTTTAGACTATCATATTTCATTTGACAAAAACATGTGACATGCCTAAATATGGTCATGATGACATCACATCATGACCATATATAGGCACATTGTTACTACATGGGTGAATAACCAACCATTTTTTGTCAAATAAAATTTGATAGTCTGGATAGAGCTTCAAAGACCTCCCATAAGCAAGTTGCTGCTGCCTACCAATTCAATTCAATATAATCACAGTAAACACTCTACACAATTATTTAAATCATCATTAAACAATATTATTATAATAATTATAAGGATAACAATAATAAAAATTATTCCAGCCCATTGTTTCTCAGTGATTTACCCACCCCTTGCTATCCGGCGGTGGCCCAGACACTTCTCCTCAGTAATGTCCCCACCTTTTTTTTCAAAGTTGTCGTGGCATACTTCTTCAGCCATTGACTGCTTCTTTAATGGTTGATAATCAGGTGACTAATTTCGACCAATGGTAATATCTGTTACAGTGCCTTTAAAATGACCACTACTCATGTGATTGTTTCCTGAAAACAAATTAAAAAAGTATTTAATATTCATAAATAACAATAATAAGAATAATAATAATAACACTGATCATCTGTTATCATTTAATATGTACCCTAAATGCAGCTGTTCTATATGTAATAATAATAATAATATGTCGTCCTTATATAGAACTTCATGCACAAAGCCCTTAAACACACACATTACTACCCCAGTCGTGGAATCAAACACATATGGAACACATACCGAACACCAAATTAAATTATTAAATTAAATTATATTATTATTCCATAATATTGTCACATTTACATGCATGGAAGTGGAGTTAGTCATAATATTAAAGTTATTCATGTCTTACAGATTTGAATCAAAAACCCTTGCAAGCATTAGAAGTTAAGCACTGTATTCACCAAACATAAAAAATGCATTACCATTGCTGTGACGATATATTCAATATTTCTGCAACACGAGGATTCTTATTGAGATCTGCCGGAGTTTTCCCTTTTTTATTCTTCACCTCAAGGCTTGCTCCATTGGCAACCAAATACACTGCAATGCAAGCAGCAGAGTTGGGTTCTGGAGCAGGTCTTTTATCATTTATACCAGCTGCAGCAAGTAACTACAATAAAAAAAGAAAAACAGAAAAACATTTTTTTTAAATAAATTTCTTTAGCATCATCATCACCTACTGTAATTATAGCATTATTTACTTATTTATTTATTTATTTGAATGATGAATATTTTTGAATGGATTGATTGATTGATTTTGATATTTATTTGAGAATAACTGATTGCTCAATCAACCGATTGCTGTAGAATGATTGAAAGATTGATTGAATGATTGATGAAATGATTAATTAATGGATTGATGGATGGATAAATAGATTGATTGGTGGATTGATTGATAGATGGATGGATTGATGTAATGATTGATTGGTGGATTGATAGATGGATAGATTGATGTAATGATTGATTGGTGGATTGATGGATGGATGGATTGATGTAATGATTGATTGGTGGATTGATGGATGGATGGATTGATGTAATGATTGATTGGTGGATTGATGGATGGATGGATTGATGTAATGATTGATTGGTGGATTGATAGATGGATAGATTGATGTAATGATTGATTGGAGGACTGATGGATGGATAAATTGATTGATTGATGGATGGATTGATTGATGAATCAATAGATGGATGGATTGATTGATTGATTGATTGAATGGTGGACTGATTGATGGATTGATTGTAGATTGATGAATTAATAAATGGATAAATTGATTGATGGATGAATTGATTGATTGTAGATTGATGAATGGATAAATTGATTGATTGGTGGATTGACTGATAGTAGATCGATGGATTGATGGTTGGATTGACCAATTAATTGATTGATTGTAGATGAATGGCTGGATTGATTGATTGGTGGATTGATGGATGGATGGATTGATGTAATGATTGATTGGTAGATTGATGGATGGATGGATTGATGTAATGATTGATTGGTGGATTGATGGATGGATGGATTGATGT